TGATGGGATTGAATGGGATTGAAATTATGGAAAGAAGTATGTGTTAATTAAGAACTGCTTCAGTTTGCTGTAAGGATTAATTTGGTTCTCTACTGCTCACAACTCAACCGCACCAACAAAATAGGCCAGGAAGAGTGATCAGACTAACAGGAAAAGACTTTTGTTTCATCATGACGATACTAGGCGACCCAGTATCGCCTAGTATCTAGAAACAGAAGATATTAACTAAACTTGTTTGGTAAGTATTAATGCATTCACTGTATAGTCCATATCTCCCACCATCTGACTACTATTCCTTTCATTCTCTGAAAAATTATCTTGATGGAGAAAAATTTGCCTATCAAAAGGCAAAGTTTTTCGCGGATAAACTATAGAAGTTGCACATCAATGGAATTATGAAGTTGCCTGTTAAATAGCTAGTAAAAATTTGTTATGTATTTTTTTAAATTATTTGCTTTATTGAATATTTCTAAATAAAATGAACAATAAGTAATAATAAAACTTTATTACAATTAATTTACTTTAAAAAAAAGTTTTTCTTTTTTAAATGTACCAAAAAACGACCAATACTTTTTACCCAAGAATGTAAGCAAAATAATAAACACTTTATATTTTTTGTTGAGATTAGTCTCAACGATACTGTGAGACTACGGCAGGGTCGAAATTAATTTATTTAAGCCATTAGTTCTTATAAGCATAATTTTTTATATTTATTTAGTCAACATTTTTAATTGTTGTTATAGTTCTATCTATGGTATAATCAAAACTATTATATATTTAATTAAATATAAAATTGACTGTTGATATGCAATGTTGATAGGAAAAGTTTTTGTTAACCTAGACTTAATTGGAAATTTGCTGAGAAAAAGTGTTTAAATTGATATACAGTCAAACTTCCATAAGTCGCAGTACTTCCATAACTCGAAGTACCCTTTTTGCAAAGAAAAGGTTCGACTTATGGATACATTGTCTTATTTTCAGTAATATAAGATTCTAATTTATTCCAAGCCTTATAGTGATCATCAGTTGTAGTATTATTCGTTTATAAATAAAAATTCAGAATTTTGAACGAGTCTTCTACTCCACTCTTGAAAGGCTAATAAACAATTTTATCCACCGAACCCTTATCATCACTTTCCGTTGCGTATAGAATTGAATCCAGTAATTCAGAGCTATAATCGTTAATTATAATCTTGATGTGCAAATTTAATTGGCAAGCTCAATATAATCGTTAAGAGCAGCATTGGAAGTTATTTCATTTACTTTACTTTTACATCAATTCCCGGTCTTCATCAATATTACTGAAGAAAATTAAAGGAATGTCGTCCTGTTCGTCCCATGTAGAAAATTGACTAAATCCAGCCTTTTTAAAGCTTTTTTAAATATTTGCTATGAAAAAGGGACTTCCCCTAACAGTAAAATGCATTTATACTTGAAACAAAAATTCGACTTATAGAATACACTTTATCATATTCCTATCGGCACGGAACAAAATTTTTGTTCGAGTTACAGAGAAATGCGAGTTATAGAAGTTTGAGTTATGGAAGCAGAATTGAGTGTTATTTGCTCTCTAAAACCTTGGTGCACTGTTTTTAGTTCGAGTTATAGAGAAATGCGAGTTATAGAAGTTCGAGTTATGGAAGTTTGACTGTATATTGATTTCAACTTAATACAAAAAATATGTGAAAAACAAAAAAAATTAAGTGAAAAAGTTATTGCAATTAAAATGCAATATGAGATACATACATATAAAAAAATCATAGCACATTCAGTAAAACATAAAATAATAAACTTAAATTGTTTTGTTTGGGACAGCAAAGATAAAATGTTTTCATTAATTTGTGACTATTTAACACATTCGTGTTAAATACAAATCAACATTAGTTGTTATTTTTCCAAATATTTTTCAGCAGCAAAAGTGTGAAACGCTGACTTAGTTATTGAAATGCAGATAAATACGAGTAAACCTGGGCTCTTGTGCTCGCGTACCCGCTATGTAGAGGGCTTTCTGTATACAAAACCGACACCGAAACCGATATCGTCGCCCTGATAAGATTGTTAAAGTCAATAAATTTGAATTACAAAACCCAACACAAATTTATTTATTTGTTTATTTCAAGTTGAATTGTTTAGTTGTTGTTGTTGACGGTTTGAAGTGGTCATCTAAATTGGTTCAATGGTTCTAGACGATGCATTATCGTTACTCATTATTGAAAACGAAATAATTGATTCGTAACATGTCTGTTTGTTTGTTTTTTATTTCAGTTCTCGGTTTATTGCACTTTAGCATAATTAGGAATTTTTTTTTTTTACTTGTCAAAAACGACATAATGATGTAATGATATATATACCTATGTAGTTCTTAATATTTTTGCCACTTCAGCTAAGGTTGCACTGTCTTACACTTTTCAGTGTCAAATAACTTGTTTCTGCGAAATTTTAAATATAGTTATAGACTTGACTCAATATATAATTTATATGAATATTTAAAAAAAAAATGAATTAAAATTAAAATTCATTTCCTCTAGAAAAGAATTTTGGAAAGGAAATGCATAAAATCAGTGCATTAGAGCAATGTTGACTTTACTGGTCAAGTTAAGAATATTATTTTACTTCAACAATATATTTATGAAAAGATACGTTGCACTATATAAGAATGATATGAATAAATTAAAATGAACATAAGCATAGTATTGGTGGAAAGAGTGGCTCAGACTGATTGGGATAATACAATTACCTCTAGACAAGCTAAAGAATCCATGCCGTATCGATTTAAAGCCAGAATTAGTGAATTACTTATGCTGAACAGAAGTGGCATCCGACTTGTCACAAGGTTTCTCACTAGGCATTGCGGAGTTAGGTTCTATCGAACTTAGGTATTACTAGAGACCATAGTTGCAGACTTTGTTGCGAAGAATATAGTGCCTATCCACTTATACCGAATTAGTCAACATCTCTCCAAACGACATAATGGCGTTCTTAAGTGTTATTAATCTATAGAACTAAAGTGGGTATGTTACAATAATTCTCAAAGAATTCAGTAACGTGGTGACAAGTTCCCAAACTATTTTTTCTAAAAACTGAGATCTGAAAAAAAAACCATAGTTAAAAATACAACTCTAAGGAATCAATTTGTGAAGTCGAAAGAGTTGAAAGAATCCAGTATTAAGGATTTGAAATAAGACAGTAAATAGCTGGTCAAAGTTTTAATAAGATATATCTTTTTGCAACACAGTGCTGTACGCACCCTGCAAACTACTCCATATCGAATAGAAATTCGATATTTATTTGTAAACTAGCGTTTACACCTGCTAGGCTGTGGCAAGATTTCTATATTCGAATGCAAATGTGTATTATTTTCGAATATTTGTACGCACTAGTAAAAAGTGGGAGAGTATATAAAAGCATTGTTAAAGTCAGTGTAAATGCTTAGCTAAGCCATAGTAAAGTCATTTTCTTTAATTACAGTAAAAACTCTTTTAAGCGGACATGAAACCTTATACAGAGGACTAAAACACTCTCTAAGCTACAATACTTTTTTATTTTATCTTAGATTAAAATAAAATTTCGAGGATCAAAAAAAAGTAGATCTTGCCATTAATAAAAAAAAAAAACAACAATATATTTATTTATATATTTGTATATGAACAATAATGTGATAATCCTGCTTTTGTTTGTATATTATTTTCACGAATATTTATTTAAAAAAATTTAACTTTAAAAACAGACATAGGACACTAGCCTCCGTTGAGTCGGGGAAAAAATTAGAGAAACCAAGAACCTTTATTATTTCATCTAAAAAATTTGTTTTTATTTTGGCAGTTGATTTAATTAATTTTTTTTAACCTTTATTATATCATTTAAAAAATTTGTTTTAATTTTAGCAGGTCTTGATCAGGAGATTTGGAGTATGCACGTGGGCTTGAGGGGCTGAATCTTCTTGATATGAATCAAATATCAATTTGTTTATATGTATATTGTGGTAGGCCGATTATTTTTTCTTTTGAAACACACAGCATACAGGTCACTTCAAATTAGGGAACCATACTAAAAGAATCTCACTTTCGTCATATATATCGCAGCTGTGACTCTGACTTTGTACAGCTCATGCACGGTGGAGACTTAACATAACACTTTAGGAGCCCCTTTTTTTGTGGATCTTGATCAATCACAAAACCTTCCACTAAACAGTATTCTGAACTTCGTCAAAGGCTCTAGGTAGTCTTAAATTTTGAGTTTTCTTCTACCAGTGGATCCCCTATAGATCGCTGGTATAACCAAACCTATAGCAAGATTACCACAAAATTATTCTGTATATTATTTATTAAAGCTTGAACTCTTTTTAATAACAACAATTTTTTTTTTCAATTTTTTACTGAAATAGTCTGATAGACATAGCTATTATTAATTAAAATAAGGGATTGTGCACTGCGACCTAAAAGATCTATTGTGCCCCTTACTCGGATTAGAGTGTTTATATAAGTCCGATTTCTTTAATAAAAGACAGTATAGAGTCTACCTTTCCTAGTCTTGAATCTTTATCATCCATGAAATACCCTCCCAGATGGTTTTTTCGCCTGTACATCAGTACCGGGTACTCCGCAAGCACATGGTATGCAGTTTCTCTCTCTTCTCTACAGTATCTGCAGTCTTAGTTGGATTGAATTTCTAACTTCGATATAGACTTAACTAACTCTACCAATTAAATATGCTGTCCATGGGCCTGTTAATAGCTGTAACATGCATTGTTGTTTATTGTTGTAAAAATGAGTGTTATGCTATAGAGAGCTACTTTACAAAGCTGACAACTTTAAAGCAAGAACAGCCGCAGATACTAACAGACTAATTTTAAACTAAATTATATTCGAGCGTAGCATTGTTTTGCCTCTGCTCTTATCTTATCATGCGTCATAGTAACATAACAGCTTAGTCGCTACTATGATTAACACATTTTCGATTTTGTAACAATAAAAATACTAAAAACAGCTATAAAGTGGCAGAACTTGTCGTAGAAAGAGATGGAGATGGGACTTGGCTGGAAGTGAAGAAATATTTTTTGAGAGAACCAATGTTATGAAATTGGCAAATTGATATCAATTGCTATTGTCTTGGTTAGATTGTCAACTCTTTGTCATTATTCATTATTGATATTGTGTACAATACAGAACGCAGGCGAATATATTTAAATTAAATTTAAAAAATTGTTTTTAAAACCGTGACGTCAAGTTATAATTACATATTAAGTGACCTGACCGGATTTTCTGTAAGCAATGGAAACTGATAAATTACATCCCATGCCAATGGATGATGTCGACTTCAGCAGCGGATATGAGACGCAATATGCTAAAGAATACAGGCCGGTGCACTCCATAGTAGTTCCGAAGCCAGACAAGGCAAACGCTTGGTATCGTGATCTACAGACTATATTTGTTGTGCTCTTCCTGGTGACAGTGTTTCTGATCGGTTCGATTATGTTGATAATGTTTGTGTTCTCCCAAAATCCTTGGCACGTATTCGCCTTCACCAGCATTTATATCATTTTGGCGTTGATTGTGATTTTCATCGAAGTGAAAAGTGTGCATGTGCGATAAACAAACAGACGTAATATTTAAAATTAAAACGAAACAAATTAATGTTTTTCATTAAAACTAAGATATTATTCACATAATAAGAAAATAAAAAATAACGAAATATCTACATAATTAATTCATTGAAGAAATCAAGTAAGACATTATAAAGTCATGTTATATACATGCATACTTAAATAATAATTAATAAAACTATCTTAAAAAAACACTGTACTTTGTATGTAAAAATTTCAATAAATTTTTCACATTTGTTAATATTTTTATAGTAAGTTTAGTGAAAAATGAATACTATTATCATTGTGAACACTACGGCAAGATTGTATATAACACAAAAATAGATAGCAACTTTGGTTAAACAGCTGGTACTCGTAGTAGCAGAGTCTGTGTTGTTGTCGGCTATTGAGTTGTTCTGGGTCACATTATCCGCAGTTAACCGGTTTAGAACGTCAACGTCTTCGCAAGGTATCAAGATCACAGTGAGATCACCAGATTTTTGTATTGCTTCACTTTCACTGTTCTCAATACTTTGGAGCAGAATTTGTTTGGATTGCCTGCGGAAGTATTGGATATGATTAAAATAACAATGTTCTCCTTCAAAAATTTATAATAATATATTACGATTTTCTCATTTTAGCACTCAATGTTTATTAAAAAATATTTTCGTTATTTATTTATTCCAAATTTCCTGTGATTTTTGCTGTGATTTTAAACGTGATTTACTCGACGAGAGACATGGGCAACTGAATCCGAATTTAGTTTTTACAATTTCCTGAGCTGAATATTGTACCATACATTATGCTGAGTAAGGGTTTCATAAATCAAAACCTTAATTCTTTGTGTATTTTTAGCTTTTAATTATTTGCTTTGAGCAGAGAAATCTGAGTCAAAAAAAACTCAAATAGTAATTCAAGAAAAATGCGCATCAGATGCAGAGATCAAATTATCCACTTAATGTAGATGTGAATGCGAGTATAATTAAGTGCACAAAATTACTATGCATAGACCATTAATTTGTATTAGCTACAATTTTACATTATGATTCGTATTATGTCTGTCTGTTTGTTCTCGATTTCTTCCAGTTCACTCTTCCAGTTATTGGACTTAAGCGCTTATTTAATAAATTGTAATTTAATGTCAGTTTTGACCGTAATGATTAATTTACTTAATAGAAACTATTGTGTTTTGTTCGAGAGATTTCGACAAGTAGCGAACTACAACAACAAAAATTATTTTTATATTATTGAATTTGTTTTGATTGATTCAAGATACTATAGACGTGGTATTTTAATTTGTTTATGCATAAACAATTGCAATTTTATAGCAAAAGTAGTGCAGTTCATGGATTTCAAACTTAGGCCGTGTGGGAGTTCTAGTAAATTGAGGTAAAGTAAATTGAAATTTTTTGGGGATTTTTCGCACTGCACTTATGTAAATATTTATTTATTGCATTTATTGCACTTATTTATTATTTTTAGTTAAAAGTTTTCAAGTTTATGTATTAAATATTTTAAAAAATTTTCCTAATTTGGTAATTACCAACATCCGCTGCCATACCGACATAATATAATATTTCCCTTAATTTACCATCAATTTATTCGAATTCGCATAAGGCCTTAAATGATAATTTAAAAAAAAAATTTTTTTGACTTACAGTTATTATTTTTTTGTCCTATATGTGGAAAGCATCGAAATTCACTGTGTAAGACCATGTAAGCATGGGCGTAGTGCAAATAGAATAGGTGTAGTGGTGGAGGTGGGATTGGGCTAACGGTAGACTCTATGACTAGAATCACGAGAGCCGCGGCTTTAGAGAGGGATGATGAAGGTATCAGAGTATCGCTCAGCGAAGTAAAGGTTAGATATTGGAAAGGGAGGGGGGTTAATAGCGCAAGGCTTGGACGAGGTTAGCGTGGAGGGTGCTACGGGTAAAGACGCCGGAAAACTCACTTGCAGATACTTAAATTCTATATGTATTCTAAACAAATTTTTTAAATAGATATAGATTACTACAAGAATAATGAAGTAAGTATTCGACAACAAAATTTGTTTAATACTTGCTTCAAAGACTGCATCTTGATGTATATTAAGAGTTATTAGCAGCTATGCTTAGAGGTAAGATGGCTAGTATTTGGAACACTTTGACTCAACAAATTAGTGAATTTTTTGTAGTTTGCTTGTATAAACATTAGATGAATTATTTAATCAAATAGATACGTTTTTCTTAATTAATTTTGCGTGAAATAATTTTTCTAAAAATACCAGGACGAGAAAAACTGGAACAAACGAGAGGTAGTTATTATTTCTGTGGCACCACAAGTTGACTGTTCTAAACAAGTTCTTCTAAAACGTTATATACCGATATAGCCTAGGTCTTGATATATTGAAATTCATTTTATTGAAGTTCTTTAGTTACAGCTCTTTTAAGTTTTTTTTTGGTCATATATTTTACAAGAATCAGAATGTGAATCAGTTCAATTCCTAGTTTACCGATCAGATCATGGTTTTATGAAACATACCTAATAGAAGTAATAATAAATAAGAAGTGAAATTAAAAATAGTAAACAGATTCATAAATAGTAAACATATTCTTTTTCTAAAGAAAAATATAATTATATAGTTTCATAGCAATGGGAAACTCTGAGACTATGCAAGCAATCAGATGTCTTGTTCTGTTATGGTTCCCAAATAACTTTTGAAATTTAAATTAAAATCAGATTTAAAGCAAACGAATGCTTAAATTTATGCATGTACATTCGTTAACATCAACATTCACTTTCGAATTTTATCTTTTAATATGGATTGAAAACCTCAGAAACTTTAAGTATTAAAACATCAGACAAATGTGCATAGAACTCTGACTTCATTGGCAAAATATTTTGTCAGTCAATGCAAATACTGACAAAGCAATAAATAAATGAACGAAATATCATTTCAGTTCATCGTGAGTGAAATATTAGTGAAATACAAACAACGTTTTGCCGGCAGCACTGAGCCGCATTTCCGATATTTTAATAAACTTCTATGAAATAGATAAAATACCAACGAACCAACGAACCAACGAACCAACACAGTCCAAATAATTTACACCTAAAATATTTGCTTGCCTTCTAAGCAATGCATGCAATGCAATCAAAGCAGGCAATGCAATCCGAACTGCAGAAGGAAGCATTTGCCTCCACTGGCCACCAGGCTCCAGCCACCAGCCGCCAGCCACCAATTGCTTTTCTATTCGCCTCTTCAATTGAATTATTCGCCTCCAATATAGGTGTGGTGGAAGGAATCCAATGGTGTGCATTGCTAGTGTGGTAGCATGCAATGGAGTAATGCAATGGATTATTGAAGCGCAGGAGGAATCTCCACTAAGTAAGCATGCCGTTTGTCTATCTTCGTATCGTATCGTATCCTTTGTTAACGAATTTAATCCTTTTATAATATGCGTTCGCATATTTATTGCAAATTTATATACATACCATATATAGATATTTACGTATCCATGTGAGTATTGATGTGTACATACAGCATGAAGTGTTATATGTTTATTCTAATTGAAATAAAATGAAATTCAATATCATTTTATATGTTTTATTCAATATGAAATGAGAATCAGATTTCATTAGAATCAGATTTTGACATTGAAAATTTAAATAAATTTTATTATTACTATTGTATAGTTGACTCAATAAATAATTTTTGGTTGGTGCTATTAAATTTATCTTTGATAGCGAATAAATTAAAATTGATTTAATTAACATAATTTACTAAATTTTGCAGTTCGAACAGAGCACACAGAAAATTAAGCTACACGTAATGAACCCTCTGGAAAAGTTAAACTAATTATGCATTTTATTTGAATTTATCAATTTTATTACATATATGAAATGAATATTATTTTCATTTATTCAAAAAAAAAAATGTATAAATAAATAACATTTAAAAATATATATACAAAATATTAAAATATAATTGAGAAAATATTTTATTGCATTTAAATTGACAACGTATGTAGGTATGTTGGGCTTTATGCAATCAACACACATACCACACATACACAATACAATATATTCAATTTCATTATTAAATTTTCAAAAAATTTTATAATAATGATATTTCTCTAAATTCTGTCTGAATAAGCTCCCGAAATAGTTTTAGTAATTAGTGACAGCGGGTCTTCCAAACTTTCAAATTTCAAAGCTTCAAAGTGCCATTCTTTATTTACCTCTTCCATTTGTGACAATCAGAGATATAGACTCAATGTAGAGTAGAACACTGTAACTTCAAAGACCTTTCCTTCTGTCACAAGATCCTGATGGGTTAGAATCGAAAGTGGTTTGTCTGTCAAACTGATCAAACTGAAGAAGATCTGAAGTCAGTTATTGCTTTGTCTGTTGAAGTGATAAACAATAATCCAGTCAAAGCGTAGAGAGGGGTTTTGAAGAAACCCCGCAGTTAATAGAGGGTAAAAGTGCTCAAGTGCACGTACTCAAGTAGACTCAACATAATTTGATGATTAGAATATATTTTATTAAACATTACTAAATAACCAACAGTGTTAAGAAATATGCTCCCAATATTCTCTCTTAGACCCAGTACAAATTCAAAGAAATACACAGAATGTGCTAAGTATTTTAATATCGTTCCGAATAACAATAACCTTTATGTCATATAATTCCACCGGTTTTTTCAAAAGGAAGAAGCAATTTTTTCAGCTTCAGACAAGTAACGGTCCACTATATTTAATTATGAATCCACAATAAAAATAAAAATTCATATATCTATTTCTATTTTAATTTTTTAAAAAACGATGAGAATATAATGAAGTATTATAAATTCATTGCAGGTGATCCCGTTGGGTCTACATCAAATGGTAATAGTGCAAATACTCGTAGTGTGGAGAATGTGGTTGGTGGAGTCAGCGATATGCAAGTGTTGGAAAGTAGTCGTGGAAGCAATTTGAATGAATGTTTGAATCTTTGTGTTGGTGCTGGTGCGGAAGGTAATGAACGTGAGGCATATGCCTGAAGGTCTCTATGAGAGAGTTAACAGTTTTTCTATTCGAAGATTGTGAAATACAATTTATAAAAAAATTAAACAATTAAACAATTTTAACAATTAAAAATAAAAATATAATTACTTAATTCAATTATTCTACAGCTAGTTTATGATTTCGTTCTAATAGGTATAAACAGCAAGTGAATTTGTTAATAAAACTTTCACAGCAAATTAACAAAACTCCAGAAAAATGTGCGAACTTAAAAGTCAAGTACGGCTTAGTGTCAGTTGGTTAAGGAGCGCTGACTCTGAGCTTTAAATTTGGCAGGTCCCGAATTCAATTGCTAGTACTTGCAGTTTCAATAAATTATTTACGAATAATTAAATACAAAAATTTTTCCAAGACTATCAATGATGGGTATTTGACAGCTATATAGACAGCCAAAAAATTAATTAATTAAAATAATATAAAAAAGCATTTTAGTTGTTGTAGTTCACTACTTTTCGAAAACCTCTTTATTAAAAAAATTAATAAAAATTTGATATGAAGTTCTGAGGAAAAATTTGATGTAATAGAATTTATTAAATCAAATAAAAAATTTTTTAAAAATAAAATATAACATATTTCGAAACTATAAAATTTCGCGTAGTTTTTACTATATATGCTAACAAATAATTAAGAAATGAAAAGTTAATCAGAGTTAAATTAAGCTTCAAAATTACGCCTTAATAGCATAAAACATTTAAACATGAGTCATCGGTGATCGATAAATGACAGACTGTGAAATACTACTGAAAGCAGGAATCTTAAAAAATGCTTTTCCCATAGGTGTACCAAATTTTCAAATTTTGCACAACTCACTTCTTGAAATATTAGAAAAAGAAATAAAGCTTATTTGTTAATTAAATATATTTTTATTATGAAACTTTCAAATTTTGATGGATTTGTTATATAGATTTCAGATTTTTGTAAGTAGTCAGTTGTAATACTGTCATTGTCGGTCGGTATTATGAAAAAGTTTATGAAGATGAGGAAATTTAGTCAAAAAATATGCATCAAGTATTGTACACCACTTGTCAATTTTGCTTCAGCTGTACTCTTATTTACGCCCATTCTTACGCGATTCCAAACATACGTGTGGGATTTAGCCACCCCAAAATTCTAAAATTAGCGATAATGTAGATGCTTATTTTTGCTAATTATGTTCATATAATTACCTACTGGTCCTTTCTACGAATCCATCAAAAAAGTGTTTCGGAAAGTCTACTCGGACTTCACGTGGACCATCTGAATCATCTTCTTCATCCTTAACAAAAATTATATTAGTATATTATTTCCTTAATTGCTATTTGTTTTACTTACCTCGGAGAAGAACGCATCATAAGTTAATGTTACCAAAATGTAACTAATGGTATATAATACCAGAGAGCCCAGAATAATTTTATACGTATGATTGTTATAAAACAAGATTTTGAGTTCATTATATTCAGAAAATGACTCTATAAAGAACCACAACGTTACTATTGTGGCCGCGAGTATTAATGCTATTAAAGACTTGATTACTTGAGCCATTTTTTGACTAAAATTTTCCTTTTTATGCACCGAATTTGTAACTGATCTAAAGAAATTCAAAAAATATATGATATTTTAAAAATTTTTATTTACGATGTAAATGTAATTGCTATGCTTACTAAGATATTTCTATGTTTTACTTATAATATGAATACCAATAAGATTTTGGAATTGATAAATCATTGAACAGTCTTTTATTAAGTGTATGAAAACTGATAAAGATCTAATATGAGGTACGATCACACGGTAAATAATAATTTTTGTTTAAATTTAATTAAATAGGTGTTTTTATTTGTAAATATTTTTATATATACATTAGGACGAATAATATCTTCAGGGACCTCAAAATTGGTACGATCAAAAAATACATAAAGAATATAGCCCTAAAACTATTTACGAAAACCGACAGGCTTACCAATACCACGTTATCAAATCTCAGAATGGTTACAGGCTCCTTGGGGAGGTATGCAGATTTGAAGTTACTTATTGCTTAGTCTGATGAAGTGATAAACAATAATCGAGTCAAGGCTTAGAGAGGAATTATGAAGATACCCCGCAGTTAATAGAGAGTAAAAGTGCTCAAGTGCACTGACTCTACTAGACTCCATATAATAATAAAATATGATACATAGTTTAGCAAAAAAACTAATAAATTAAAAATTTTTTAATAATAGAGTGTTGTCAGAGCCTAATTGGTTAATTTTTTATTATTCTTATAAATAAAAATTATGAAAAAACAATTAGAGGCATTTGTATTATTAAATTTACAAATATATATTATACATATATTATATTATATATTTAAAAACTGTTCAATTAGTCTGTGATAACATTATATTTATGACCAAACAGGTTATAAAATAATAAACATTAAAAAAATTTTTTTTAATGGAGTGGTTTCGAACAGTATTGAATTGTAACAACATTATTTTATTTATTTTTTATTTATTGAGTTTTTGGCTGACCATACGCTGCTTCAAGTATTGCCAAATATCAAATCTCAGTGGTCTCGGAATTATTTCTTACATATAATAATTCGTAAATAATGTTTTAAGACTGCAAGTACCAAGGGTTGAGCTCGTACCATGCCCAATAAAATAATTCACTTTTATAGTGTTCTTCCATTATACTATAAATATAATTACCATAATGGATATTGGAGTAAGTAGTGCTAACATAATACTTTCTATTTATTTTCAATAAAATTTACAGTGAAATAATTTCTATTGATTTTTTATTGCCATTTTAATTTATAAGTAAAACAAAAAGGTTTGAAGGTTCTGGGAATCTGCGACGTAGACCTATCTCCATTAACATATTATTATGAATGGTATAAATGTAGAATGAGATTTCCCAATGGTTACTTTTATCGTTGATAAAAGTAGTCCTTTTATGCTGTATTTTATGAAATAAGAGATGAATAATTACTATGGGCTTGGATTGCAATATAAAAATTCTGTTAAAAAGTAATTGTAGTAATTGAATATATTGGATACCAAGAAGCCAACCAAAAACTTATAATAAATTACTAATTGAGATTAATATTTTCATTGCCATAATATAGTACTTATTTAAAATACATAAAATAGTAGTAAACCATTCCAGATTTTGTAAATAAATATTACATGTAATGTGACACCTTACAATCATAACCTTACATTTACACATAACCTTTTATTGTTATATCCTTACATATTTCAATCATAATCCAATTATAAAAATTTAATTAAACCAAAAATTAATTAAACAAAATGCAAATTGGCGTAAAACGATGAAATGCTATTTATGTAAATATATACACGTGTACATACATTCACTCTTATGCATATAATATTTCTTTTACATATATATTTTAAAAACATATCTATGTAATTTATAAATATTCCAGGGTATCCGGTTACAGTGTAGCTCCTTCATGTGGAATGCAACCGCGGCATACCACGTATGCAAATATTCTGGAATGTTCATTGCGCACTGAAATTCTCATTGCAAATCTATTATCTCAGAATGTCAACGGGAAAGGGTTTTCCATAAGGACAAGTGGATACAAAAAAATAAAAATGGCCACATGTCCGTCCACGCGTGTCATTAAAATTTATTGCTATAATAAAAAAATATCATTATTTGACTATAATTTTTGAGAGAATATTTTTGCCTACAATGGCAACTGTAAGGATGCGGTAATTTATGACCCTGTCCATCTGTCTAAACGGGAAAAATTAAATTAAATTTAATTTGATAACACTGAAACCTACTAAAATATGATAGACTAAATGAGAGCACATATTTCTTCTGTCTGGGACTGCAATATATAGTCTTCGTACTTAGCAATATGAATTTAGAGTGATTTTTGCAAAATGTCTATTTTGTTCGACGAAGCTACACAGCGAAAACCTACGCTTTTCCATAACTTTTTCAGTATTTACACTGAACTGCAGAGTTGACCTGGCAGTAAAAGAAGTATAATTAACTAAATAATATATATATATTTTTTTTTAAATATATATATATTTTATATATATATTTTTATATATATATATATTTAAAAGTTAGATGGATTCAAAGACAAGGACAAAAATTTATTTAATTTATTTCGAGTATTGCCAAGTACTCCTCAACAGTTGTCTTAGGAAATAATCGAATTTTTTAATTAGTTTATAGTCCGTTCATATTTTGTTTGGACTGCAAGTGTCAGGCTTAGAACTCATACCTGTGAAATTAGAAGCGGTGACTAATCGTGTTTATCCACAAATAGCCAAGGCTGCACAAACATTCAAATATATACATAATATATATTCTAAAGATATTTTCCAGAACTTATAACTGAGGTCAAGTCCTTTAACCGATCTGAACTGAACCAATTTTAAACTGAATTCTTTGACTTATATAATATAGAAAATATATATATATAAATTTATTCTTTTTTTTTTTGGTTTTAACAGTAGATGGAAAGCACCAAAAGCCACAGTGTGACACTAGAACCCACTAAAAACATCTCTTAGGAATGAATAGAGAGATTTCCACAGCAATGTGGAATCAGTAATCACGGGAGAGAGATGAGAGCAAATATGCTTAATACCTAGCGGGCTAGGTTCATCTTAGCCAGAAAGAATGGGCGTAATTAGGGAGATAGAATGATAGTGTAAAACAAAATATTTTATTTCTTTATTTAGCAAATGTATGTAAATATATTGTAAATTTATAAAATAAAGATCACTTTCCTTTATTTTATTAACGAAGCTGTGAATTGCAATTACATGGAATAGATACCAGTTAGCAACTTTAGTCCTCTCTGCGGTTGCGCCTTATTTGATCTACATTGAAAAAAACTGTCAGTCTACATCAGTTTTATTGTAACATCCATTTTTCTTGAAGTTTTACAGAACGGATTTCGACAAAGCTTTTCTTCGTCGATTGGATTCTTCTAATCTGAACTAAAGAACTGTTCGAATCAGCATTCATTTTGCTAAATATTGAACCAAATGAAACTTTTGAAACTCATGCACATTATTGCTCTGCTCAATAGTCAGTAGTGCTTCGGCTTCATTAGTGTTGAATGTGAGGGACCACATATATTCAGTAAAAATAACGATAAGCGATATTGCTGAATATAATCCAATACTATAGTTGCGGGTTACCAATATTAAATGTTTTATTATTATTGATTGCTCCCTAAATAAGTATTTGAACATTTTTGGTTTCAGATTTAAATAAATCGGTTCAGAACTGTATGAGTATATTATAGTTCATCTGGTACAATGTATTGCAAGCCAGTTGCAACTACCTCATCCTTATTTAACAGTTGTATATAGTGTGGTATAGAATAAAACTGAATAGAAAATACTTCATTTTCGGTAAAGAAAAAGCTAATTTCTTAGTTTACTTGATATACTATATATACTTTCACTGCTGGGATATGCAGACTCTTGCATTTCTGCCTGTTTATGAACTCGCATCGCATTATTGTGCCTTCAAAACTTTATGTGGTTTCATTTATGCACTTTGTAATTTATTTCCTTTTAAAATATTCACATATGCATAACTATAAAATATTTTACTATTAAATTGCTGCTTATAAATTTACATTATATACATACAAGTATTAATGTAATTGAAAAAGAAAGCATGAAATAAAGGTTCATTATGTATTTCAGTGTGTAATTAACGTACATTTTTGAAATATTTGTATAAAATATGTGACCAATTTGTAAGAAATTTTCTAATAATATTACCACTACGCCACAAATAATAATAAATATACAATTGCACTATTTTGAAATCAAAAAAATCGGTACTAATCAATAACGAACTACATGGTCAGCATGATAGGTCATCAAATTATTAATATGGTTTCAATTGTTGCATAGAATTCTTGCCAATTCACATGTTCATACCTTTATCATCGATCACAATTAGGAAAAAATCAGATAATGGGTTTCATTTTATAATTAGATATCATTTCACTTACACTTTTAGGGGGTTTCCCCGCTTATGATAGTGAGCAATGGAACAGTCACAATAGGTTCAAAGTCACATGCAATTCAATACAAGAATATCATTGAATACATTACCTAAATGCGTATAAAGTTCCACAAATGTGAAAACACTAACCAAAAATATGGATTGCTATAGTTAATGTGTCCTCTCATCTCTCTTATTAGGTAATAGCATATTAGAATTAAGATGGGTTAAGAAAAGTTTACAATCTAAGAAAACAACTTTTTATAAATGTTTGAGATAATAACACTCAGATTCTTACTAATCTACATCATATTCTGCAAGCATCACTGGACCTGCACGTATTTTTTTTTTTGGTATCGAAACCGGAGGAAAAATGGACCGTGTCATTTGCATGCTCGTCATACAGGCCTACAGACTAAAAAATCCCCACATTCTCAGCTCAAAATCCCTGTATATCCTTCAGAAGTTGTGGAAACCCACAGATACGGTGAGGGTTATGGGGAATACGCAGTTTCTCTGCGTGAGTTCTAGCACACTAATGACCAGTAAGAGCTGCAGTAAGAACGTA